TTCTTGTGAAAAACATCATAAATAGGAACCTCTGGAGGCTTCCAATCCTGAACAAGTTTTAATACTACATCTTCTTGCTCTAATTTATCAGTAACAGTTTTTGGACAACTAATGGCACACTTAATCAAGATTTCCATTTATATCAACACTGGCTAGCTTCCAAACAATTCACAAAATTAAGTAATTAACAATAGGAAAAATTAAATAACATATACACTAGAGTGAAAATTAATAAGAAAAATACACTTACTTGCTTGAAAACTTGAAGTAAACCCTATAAAACAAATATAAACGGAAATGTTAATAATTTCTCTGACAGCGAGCAAAAGATAAATAGGCAACCTTTCGGACTTCAAAAACGGATTTCAGAGCTGTTTAATAAAAGATAAGGTAGGTAAAGCCACTAAAGCAGCTTTTAGAAAGTTTTTTTTGTCAAGACTAGGTTGACTCTCAATAGTTGAGTTCACCGGATTGTATTGTTTTTTACCTTCCTGTGGATTGGTTTGGTTAGCGTAATTTTGAAATTTTTTAGAGTTGGGATGGAGGATTTTTCATAAAATATTTGCTGCATAGAACACCAAATAAAAAATAATAAAAAATTAACTTAATGCATTTTTTTACCTTACTAAGTGAAAAGTTGATACATTCTTCATTGGAAAGGAAAATAGATTTTAATGACTAAAATTAAATAAATTTTATTTTGCAATGATCATCAAGGGTTTTTTTTTTTTAAAATTTTTTTATGAAATGTTAAGTAAATTTACAGACCTATGATTTCACCAAAGTTTGAATTTTGAACTTTCTTTTTGGGAAGGTGGGTTTGTAAAGTACAGCTATTGCTCAATTTGGTATAATTTCAAGGCTTCTTTATTGTGACGACGCACTATTATAACTGCGAGTCTCCTCCAAACCCAAAAGTGAAGTCACAAAATGCAAAACAACTCTTTGCATTTCCAATCACAGAGAGACAAATAAAGGAACAGAAGAGAATTCAAACGATATTGATGAAGAATAAACAAGAAAAAATGATACCTCCCCGAGTACTAAAATGAGAAAAATTTAGCCCCTACAACAAAAGAAATTATTGTGACGAGGTGTTCAAACATACAGAAAATAAAAACTGCTGACTATTGAGAATAAATATCACTTATTTATAAGAGCAGGGACGAATCTAAAAATTTATATGAGGGGGGCAAATTTATATAAAAGGATTTTTCATAAATCTAGTGGGGGCAATTTCAAAATTTTATGAGTATAAATACAAAAAATTACAAATTTAGGGGTATAAAATAAAATTATAGCTCACAGTAGATCCATAAGAGTAAGGACATACATTTTTTTTTTTTCCTGGTAACAGAAATGCCTTACAGCATCTACAAGAAACAGAACAACAACACAAAAACCATAACTAAAGCTTCCCACTCAACAGCCCAACAAAACAAAAGAGCCACAAAACCACGTAGAACCGTAACAAAATGACAACTAAGCAGTGCCCACCACAGAAGATAAAAAGGAAAATCCAAATTGTAAATCAGCTGTCCAAGGTGATTGCCAAAGAGCCAACAAAGGCGGAGAACAAGGACCATGTGACCACATATGAGCCCTACAATTAGATCTTGTCTTCCAAACATAAGCACCACTAACCACGGCATAAATGCCTTTGATAGAGTCACGTACCATGTGTCTACCTCATGCCCAATATATGTTTTATATTTAATTGTGAGGTTTCTGAGTCATGACAAGTGTATTTTTATTCTCAATAAAAGTATAATTGGTTCTGTTTCAAATACATCCGATTGCACTTTTCTCGGGTTTTGAAGTAACTCTGAGTAAAAAACCGATTCCATTTCAAAAAGAACCAATTGCACTTGTTTAGTTGTTTGAACATAAAAAGAAATTTTCTTTTAAAGTCAAAATTTGAATTTCTTTTTTGTCAAGGTTTAGAGAGAAGCTTTTGTACTAAATTGTTAAATTTTACTAGGGTTGTTAGGTCTCTCTTAACACACATATATTATTTATTATATCTAAAATCATTACAGCTCTTGTGATCTAATTTTAAAAACTCTACAGAGCTATTATGAGATTTTGCAGAGATTGATTATTTTTCACATGTATAATACACATACTACACACATGCGTGATTTATGATGTGATTCTCTTAATCGGAGTTCTTGACAATCCAAGATCTATTGCTACCTGTAATCAAAACAGATTTGTTTTTTCAAGTACTTCAATAATTCTATAGTTTGAAGAAAATGAGGAAAAGATCACACTCTGAAGGGGCTAGAGCATTCACGGACTGTTGATCTATCAACAATCCTTCTATATGGATCAATGGACTAAACCTGAAGTTGAGAGCATTTGGATGGGGGAGTCGCAAAGCCGAAGATGTTTAACAGTTGATTCTCGGTAGAGTGTGTTAATTTTATGGTGTGAAAATATAAGATGTAAAATAAGAAGATGAAAGAGAGAAAGGTAGAGAACACAATATATACATGGTTCGGCTCTAAAGCCTATATTCTTGGATTAAGAGCCACTGAGGCTACATTTCTCTTATCTCTTGTACTACTTGATATGTTTACATTGTATTGATACACAATATATAGGAAATAAAGTTGCAGACAAAATGAATAAATCAAGGAGGAAAGAATCAAGAAGTAAATCAAGCAGGAAAGAAAGGAAACCAAATATAATATAATATAATATGTATGAAGAAAAAAGGGAAACAAAAGGAATAAATCGAGGAAAGAAAGGAAAATGAATATAATATGTATGAAATATATTCTCCCGCGAACTTAAGATGGGTTTCTCGAAGCCAACTTGAGTTTGGAGATGAAATATTGAAAACCGTGGTGAAGCAAAAAGCATGCGAAAGGCCGGAATAACGCACGGGAAATGGCCGAAAAAACGCTGGGAAAATGGGTCGGAACAAAGCCGAGAAATGGGCTGGAGCGACACTGGGAGACATCCGGGTGATCCATTTAAGAAATGAAAATGATCCAGAACTAAGCAGGGGAATAGTCAGAACAAAGCCGAGAAATGCCAGAACAACGCCGAGGAAATAGCCAGAACAACGCCGGGGAATAGTCGGAACAAAGCCGACAAATGCTGGAACAAAGCTGGGAAATAGTCGGTCACCGTTTCGAAGCTTTGACTACCGTCAGTGAAGGAGGAGCGCTTTGGCACATGTAGCGCGAGTGAGATCTACTCACAGGGGCGTGCGTCGCATAGGCGCATGAAGCACAAGTCAGATCTATTTTGCAGAAGCGTCAGCGCGTAACGGTGCGGGACGTCGCTCGGAAGCGCATGGTTGATCGAAAAAGGAAAATAAAGTGAGATTTGAACTAGAAACAGATCAGATTTTACTGGAAAAAAAAAATGGCAGAGCTCCAAATGGAGCCATAGAGAAGACAACGCAACCTTTGGTGCAAACGATCAAGGATCGTTGCTCTGATACCATGTTAATTTTTTAATTCAGAATATAAGATGTAAAATATGAAGATGGAAGAGAGAAATGTAGAGAACACAGTATATACAAGGTTCGACACTACAGCTTATATCCATGGATCAAGAGTCACTGAGGCTACATTTCTCTTATATTGATACACAATATATAGGAAATAAAGTTGTAAACAAAAGGAATAAATCAAGGAGGAAAGAGTCAAGAAGTAAAACAATGTGGAAAGAAATAAAACCGAATGTAATATATATGTATAATAAGGAAAGAAGGGAATTAAACAAAAGGAATATATATAATATATGTTTCAATAGAGTAAAGATCGAGGGTGTGAGTTTGAGTCAAAGTCAATTGAATTTTGCTTCAACTATAGTTGATCTTTTTACTCAAGACCGCATGACAGTATCTGAGAGTTTTTCCCACTCGCTAAAATTTTGGTGTCAAGCTCTTAATCTACGTTTGCTTTACTTGCATTTTATTTTTGCTTTGTGTGATGATTAATTTAGTTTTATTTCAGTAAAATTAATATTTTGCAAAATTTGGATAAAAGGGAAATTTGAACCTGTTCACCCCCTTTAGATTATTATTCGCAAGTCACGTCTTAGTGCAATGAAGAAAGTTCATACAGTGTTAAAGAACTCTTGAAGAATATCATTCACTAGAAACAACTTTGAAAGCCTATTAAAAATACTCATTTTTAAAGCAATCGAAACGAAGTCTACAACATAACTTCATTTGCCATACTATAAGTCCAGAACCTCTTCCAGTTCAGCCGTCATACTGGCAATGGCGACCAACATTACCACACTTGATGAACAAAGTACTAACAAGTGAATCGAATGATATAGGTTCAGTAATTAAGTAATTAGAGATGATATATAATGTTTGTTCATCTGACGCTATGAAGTAAGGACACAAATTAGATGTACAATTCTTTTTTTTTTTGGACAGGTTAAAAATATAAAGAGGCAAAGAGAGAAATAAGCATTAATTAACCTAATATAAGGCCAAGCAAACACAAAATAGAAACAAAGCTCAAATAAAAGGAGCAAATGTTTACTATAAAAAGTTGTACATAAGTGGTATCTCTTCAACTTTTTGAACCCTTAATTAACCCAAGGCCTTCTTGTCAGGAAAAAAAATACCTATGGACAAGGAAACACGAAATAGAAACAAAACTCAAATAAAAAGGCTAAAATTTGTCACCTCTTTTTCTTTTTGCCTTCTAACCTTCCAAAAACATATAGCACTTCCTTTCTTGAAAAAGAAAAAAAAATTAATAACAAAGACACTTTAAACCAGTAAGTTCATCTATTGCATGAAACTAGCTAACAGCATCAATTAAGTATTAGGCCTTGATGATAATATCAAAAACGTATAATTACATTGTATTGTATTCATCATTTCATCATCCAAAATTAGGAGTCCGACGCAGATTTTATTTTGATAATTACATTGTATTGTATTCACTAAAAGAGAAAGTTCCAAAAAGGAGCAGCAGTAGACACAAGTCTAATAATATGACAAAAAATGAGTAAATAATTTATCTGGCCTCTCTTTCTACCCTTTCTTGCTTCTTGAGATCGATGTTCCCTGTAAATATAGCTGCATCACAAGCATTTTCTAAATCAATTTCCATTATCAAGTGGCCGGAAAAAAGACTCTCTGCACCATCAAGTTGAATAAAGCTCTCCACATAAGAATATGCACTATAAATCCCCAAATATCCGTGGATTCCTAGATCCTTAGCTCTTTGGGTCTCAAAATTATAAGATAGCAGCCAATCACCCTTAAGGAATTCTTCTAGGGAATCTGCTTGTAGCAGTTCACCGCTCTTTCTCAAGCTTAGCAGAATGATATTAGATTGGTCAGGGATATTAACATTAACCGTAAATCGTTTTGTCCAACAACCCAATTTGCCACCCTCCATTGTCCATATGTCACACCATTCATTTCCATAACTAGCATAAAATTGAAAAAGATACAGTGATTCCTCCAAAACTGCAATGTCCAATTGATATTTTGGAGCAATTTTTGGCAACACTACCTCTTTAAAAACTTCATCACCCATTTCGAAACGCACAAGGAGAGAACAATCACCCTCATTAGTTCTCCTCATTCCAATCCAGTATACTGCTCCATTCACGATTGCAGGTTTCTGAGGAAAAATATAACATGAAGGGCCAACATCAATTCTTCTCCAAGAGTCCGTGTTAAGACTATAAACCTCAATTAGGAATCGATCTTTGAAGGGCATATCCATATCGTGCTAGTAGAAAATCCTCACAACCTTGTAGTCATCAACTCCGGGATGGAACCCAAATGCCAAATGATTGAACTTGGAGTCCAAAATTAGAGAGTTTGGGAGTGTCTTTAATTTTCTGAGTGCTGGATTCCATAAGAATACGGTGCCTGTGCCTTCATTAGACAAGCATATGAGCCCATTGCAGGAACTGTGCATGGCTAATGACTGTGTGAGAATGTGTGAGGGAAACTGCGGTTCATAATCCTCCCAAAAAGATTCATCAAAGATTCATCATCATAACGTATTGAGTACCGGCCAAATTGGTACAACTCAGATTTGGGGTAGTAGGTGAGGATGATTAAGTGTTTTTTTGGCTTGTGGTTTTGAGATGTGCTTGAATGAAAGTAGGGTGAGTTATTAGAAAGCACCATGATTTGCAGACTGACGTGAATAGGAGTAGTAATTTTACCGGCAGTCTAATGAGGATCTGAATTAAGAGGGAGATAGTGAAGATTGGAATTTAAGGATTCTATTCTGCTACTAATCCTTGCCATTTTGTTTTGCCTTCCCTTCATGATAATCCGAAACCCTAGATTTTGATATTTAATCAAGAGACAGGAACTGATAATCAGAAACCCTAATCCAGTTTTAGGAACATATTAATGGTTAACCTTGATCGGCCGAAAAGAAAATAGAAAAGGCTTATGAAAAAACTGGAAACTCTCTTTGTTTTAACACTAGGATCGCATATACAAGTAAAAAATACTAGTTACAAAAGGAAAGGAATATATATAGGTTATATTCCTATTTGTTGTACAAACATGGATTTTTTTAAAAGTAAAAGTTGGAACCAAATCCTTTTGAGATTTGAAATTGCAATGGAAAAAGGAATTGGATTATAATTAAAATGGAATTCCATTTATCTTCGGAATAAATTGAAATTCAAATTAAATGATTTATTCTTTTATATTTGGATGTAAAAATAAATTTTTAAAAATATATATTTAGAAAAAATAAATTTTGTACCATTTTATATCCTATAAATATGTGTATGTAATAACTTATATTTGCAGGCTTGCAGCACTTGGCAAACATACTCTATATATATATATCGTATAAAAGTGTATTTAATTTTGATTATTTATATATATTTTTAAATAATTTTTTTAATTTACAAAAATATTATACGTTTTACACTCTTTTTCTTTTCTTTTCTTTCTTTCTTTTTTTTTTTTTTTCAAAGAATTCTTGTTTTAAACAATTTTTAAATTTATATACACTTTAAAATAATTTCTTCAATTTACAAAAATATTGTATGCGACGTTTCCTGCTCACGCACCTATAGGTTTCTAATAATTCACGTGCATCTCCTTTAATCATTTTAGTCTTCCACTGGTTCACTCTGCTTCCATGTCAAAACTCCTCAAGTCCATCTTCGAAGTTTTGATATTCATGCCAGCATTGTTGTTACATAGTTCACGGCTGAGGAGCTACCTGTTGCTCCTAGCAAGAAAAAAGCTATAATACTCTGGTGGATTCTCTTAGAGGGGAAGATACTGTTAGATTAGTTTACTTAGATGTTTTTTGATAATATTATGAAATAAGGATTGAATAGGAGTTTACGAGAATAAGAGAAAATTAATGATAAGAAAAATAAAATAGGAACACACACAAAAGAGATAAGAATTTAAACGTGGTTCACTCTCGTAAATAGGGTTACGTCCACGGGCGGCGGCGATGATGATTCGTATCACTATAAAAAAGAAGAATATTACAAACTGAAGAACGTTTTGATTATTCCCCACAATAATCTCTCTTCTCACACCACTAGCTCACCAACAAAAAAGACTCACACAACACTCTCAAGAAATACCCAAATAGTATATGGTTTACACCAAGAGAGAAACTTACCCAAAGACAAGCTTCAAGTGTCACTTGAAGATTGAACACACAAAATGATTTTCTCACACACACAAAACCAATATTCTTTCTTGATTCAAATATTGTCTCTTGCTCGGATGCTTTTCATCGAATGAGTGCAAAGCTATTTATAGCCAAAAATATACTTGGTGTCCAAGTATATTACAAAGCTTCCTTTGGAAGCCAAATAGCACTTGATGCCCAAGAATAATTCTTGTTGCTCAAGAATTTCAAAGCTTCCTTTGGAATCTTCACCATCACACTTCTGTAGACAATAGATTTTTGCCATGTCATAAATGAATTTTAGACAAATTTTTAACAAATCTCCACCTTGGCAAAAATTTCGAATGAACGTACCACAAATGTCAACAAAACTCCATCTTTGGCAAAATTTCTCCACCTTAGCACAAATGATAAGACAACATCATAAAGAATCTTTCTTCAACACAATGGAGTAATAACGTCATCATCATCTCCAACACAAAGCAAATTAATAAAGAATTTTAGTTAAATTTTAGTCATTCTCAATCTTAATCATCGGGCTCTCATTCTTTAACACATGTATGTCTTACACAGCCACAAACATACCAGCAATATTTTCTGTCAAAGTGCTTACCCTCAGAAAATCTAAGTTTGACATCTCCTTCAGCAACCTTCTCCAACCGCCCACTAACCATCGATTGGTAATGAAAAGTCATCTTCTCACCCTTGTGGAGAATATGACGTCCTTGACTTTTCCTTGCATCTCTATTGTGACCAACTACTTGCCTCCCATATCTTTGTTAGGGAAATTAGACGCCACTAATTCCCCTTAAGACCCTACCGTCAATATACACAATAACATGCACAAAATCACAAGACAATAATTATATGTGGTTCAGCCAATTTTGCCTACGTCCATGGCGCCACCAAAAATTCACTATATCTGTTGAGTAATTACAAGATGTGGATTAGCAGATCCCACACATACATACACTGTGTATCTCTCTATCACTTCTGAAAAATACACTATGTGTTTTCTTGCTCACTCTCTGAAAAATACTCACACTGTATTTCTCTCTTGTCTCTCACTCTGCTCTGCTCTAATCTGAGCTACTGAGCTTTGTTTCTTCTCTGTGCTCTTTACACAACTCTTGTTTGTACGTTGTTGTGGTTGTTGTTGTGATTTCTCCTTTCATTTGCCCATCTATTTGTAAGCCTTTGAAATGGGTTTGCTGATGTAAGTAATGATGCAAGCTACTTGGCTGAAGTCATGGGTGACCTCAATTGAGCCATAATATTCAACAATCTTAATAGCGCTCAAATGGGCTATCTCATTGCCATCAAGATTATTAAAAGTCAATATCACATCTGTCTTTATGGGATTGCCTCCCTGTAAGGACTGTGGCAACTTCAATTGCCATTTGAAAACGGATTTTATTCTCCCACCATGTTCTGTAATCCCCTCACAACCCTTTTAAGAACTAGGATCGTAACTCCTCTTTCTAACTCTACCTTTGCCAAGACCTTGTTAAGTTAGTAGGGTTGCATCTTAATGCGCCAAAGATTGAAACTAATCTTGCCATCAAATTTCTCAATCTCGTATCTGGTCGACATCTAAAAAAACTCCCCAAAATATTTCTCGATGAAAAGTACCGTATCTGTGTATAGTGCCGTACGACACAAACCCGAGCTCTAATACCAATTTGTTATGAAATAAGGATCAAATAGGAATTTATGAGAATAAGAGAAAATACATGACAAGAAAAATAAAATAGGCACACACACAAAAGAGATAAGGATTTATACGTGATTCACCCCTCGGAAATAGGATTACGTCCACGGGAGATGATGATTCGTATCACTATAAAGAAGAAGATTACAAACTGAAGAACGTTTTGATTTTTCCCCACAATAATTTCTCTTCTCACACCACTAACTCACCAACAAAGAAGACTCGCATAACACTCTCAAGAAATACCCAAATAGTATATGTTTATACAAAGAGAAAAACCCATCCAAAGACAAGTTTCAAGTGTCACTTGAAGATTGCAGAAACAAAAAGATTTTCTCACACACATAAAACCAATACACTTTCTTGATCCGAATATTGTCTCTTGCTCGGACGATTTTCATCGAATGAGTGCAAGGCTATTTATAGCCAAAAATATACTTGGTGTCCAAGTATATTACAAAGCTTCCTTTGGAAGCCAAATAGCACTTGCTGCCCAAGTAATTCTTGTTGCTCAAGAATTTCAAAGCTTCCTTTGGAAGTTTCACCATCACACTTCTATAGACAATAAATTTTTGCCATGTCATAAATGAATTTTAGGCAAATTTCTAACAGATAACACAATTCAACAATTAATCATGAACAAAGTAAGTGCTCAGCAGTCCAATACTTAAATCTAAACAGATAAGAGTGCTCATCCACTTAAGGGCATTTGAAAACACAATTTGAATATCACTTAAAAAAAGAATTTCCTGGGACCAAAAAAAAAAAAAACAGGTAGTTTGATAAAATATATATATATAAATTCATAAAATTTCTAGGTATATGGTTTGAATGAGGAGTACCGGATTCTTTGGAGTTGTCCGGAGATGGAGAGGATTGTGAAGTGAGGGAAAAAGGGCGATCCAATGAATCATTGAAGGCCTGTTTCGTTCCTAATGATCACAAGACTCTGATGCATTGATTTCTCGTCTTCGTCATCCATGAATTGAGTGAAGTGAAGCTTCTCTATTTCATTATATACTATGATGAATGGAGTTTTGATCATTACCTGGTCTTTACTGGTGTGTTTTCTTAGGAATTGAATGGAGTTTGGTCATGATGAATCGAGGCCAAGTGGCTAGGGCTGCAAATGAACCGGTTGATTAAGACACGGCTTGGGCTAGTTTCTTAAGCAAATGATTAGTCCAACTCGGTTTGATGTTTAGATTCGTTTAGTAAATAAATTCGATTATGAAAAATAATATTAGACTCGAATTTGAAAGCACTTCAGAATTGTAAATTTCTTTATATAGGTTATATTATAATTATTTTTTAATATTATTAAAAACTAATTAATAAAAAAATTTAATATTTGATCTCAAAATTTTATATCCTAAAATAATTT